CCCTGTCAAAAAGCTGTCCATTATGCTAGCAGTGTCCAAGCGTTCTTTTTTTCTTTCTTTTTTTAAATTCATACCGTGCCCCCTACCCCCACGTTAGGAACCTCTGAATGTGGCAATGGCGGAGGAGCACGGCTAAAAAATCTTATTCTTTCTGGGCCACAAAATAAACATTTACGTTAAGGCGAGAATGTAGCTGTGTAAACTTCAAATATCTGCTCGATTTATCATGACATCACATGTTTGCAAAAGTGCTCCGACGTTTTCAGAGACGTTTCTTATCCCACCAGCTCGATAGCTTACCAGGAAATCAAGGCTCACTAGAGCCGGCGAGAACAGCGAACTCCCGGCACATCGTTTTTAAATCCCCCGCAGTCTTTCGTTACTCAGGTCAAACATGATATATAAGTCACTTAGATAACTTATAAATGTTAATATTTGGTTTATTTCAGTGTTTTATTTGTTCCGAGGTAAATCGGTTTGGCTGAGATTAAAGTTAAGCTTCATAACATATTTATCACAGTTACATTAAGGGGAACAGCAGTAAAAACTCTGGAGATGTGATGTCATCAAGTACACTGCCATTCCAATTGTAGAATAATCGTGTTGCATCCTTGCATTCTCGCCAAGTCTGAACTCCCGTGCAAACTTACAAAGTTCGGACTTGGCGAGAACGCGAGTACGGACTCGTGTATTTCAGAATTGAGAAACGGCACAGACTCACGAGCAGACACTATGACATTGCAGACATGACAGAGGAAACAGAGATGCGGGACCAGGGTAGGCACAGAACAGAGGGGGCTCAAAAACACAGGACAGTAATAATAATCAACACACCACAGCAAAATAATCAGAACCTAACCCATAATACAGAATCGTACCAGAACATAGTAAGCTAGGAAATGCAGACAGTTTACTCATTATTAAATGTTTCCATTTTGTAGTAAAACCACTTCCAACTGATGACTGAATATCTTCGAGGCAAGGAATTTCATGACTAGAACAGTGTACTTTTGTCCATATACTGTAGCTCTCTATCTAAGAGTGATGACCAAAGAAAGGTGTTGGGTGTAATTATCAGGATATTTGTTAATAGAGAGGAAATGTAATCAATCTTTCTTTCTTTCTTCACAAGTTACACTTGTGTTTGAATCCTGCAGCTTATCACACATTTGATTTCCATACGTGACAACTGCAAGTGTCCAGAGTGAGGACAGACTGAGGGACCCACTGCTGCACATCATCTGTGAGGCTTTGCACCCCTGATGATCCACCAGGACAAACTCAGCAGTGTGTGAGGAAGAGGAGGAGGAAGAGCCAGCAGCAGCTGACAGATGGAGAGAATAGACAGACTGTTCCCTGTTTGTGAAGGACTGCTAGAAAAGTTTAAAATAACTAATTGTCTGTCCTGAATCAGTCTTATTAGGTAATGTTCAAATAATTTTATCATTCCAGCGTTTTCAGTGTGGGAGAAAGTACTCAGGGCCTTCAGGTTATTACAGCTCGTACATTTGCTTTTTACACATGTATGTAAGCATTGAGCCAAATGTAATAATGCCAACATATTAAACGAACAATATTTGTCGCTTATGTATAATACATCTATATATAAACTGTCAAAGATACTTGTCTTTGAGTGAAGATTTAAGGTGATTGGAAATATAAATAACTGCAACTTGAATCTTTACTGAAGTTCATTTGACACAGAGTTCAAGTTCACTGCTGTAATAACTAATCATGATTTATAAAATACTAACTTTAATATTGGCCATATTATATTTACATTACCACAGTGAGATGACTTTAGTCTCATGAACAACATTAGCTAATTGTTATTTACTAACTAATCTTGAAATGACTGTTCAATACAGAAATGAAGCCCAACAATCATGTTTTACAGTCCTGTGGTCTCACCCTCAGATACTCAACTAATCAAAGTGATGTCATAAAACAAATGAATGAACAAAGAAACATTTGTTCTCCTTCATTTCTGTCAAACAATGCTGTATGAAACGTTTCTCACGGTTAGATCCAAAAAATGCAACCTGAGCAGTGCGACGAAGGCTACACTGTCCCATTTCACAACGTCTCACTTCCGCACTTCTCGTACTTCCTAGTACGCGCTGTACATAGTATGTGAACTGCGTGTACTCCGATGCGTGTGGTCGCTGGATTGCGACACAGCCAATGTCACTGCAGACTTTGTACATGGCTTCTGCTGCAGTTTGTCAGTCCTCAGGGGGCCTCTGCTGCCCCTGGGGCACCTAGTAGTTACCTGCCTTACTTGGTGGCACCTCTGCATTCACCAAGGATTTAAAGAATTTAAAGAAATGTAAATGATTGGAAACATTCAAATCCTAATCCTTTGGAGTCATATCAGGAAAGGTATCTGGCAAATCTTCCAAACTCAAACATGCAAATTTACTTGCTGTGGCGACCCATTGTGAACAGGGAAGCAGATGACATCACATAAAAAGCTGGCAACACATCTTTAACGCTGTGACCAGTGGTGGCTAGTGGTACAAATGTTGGCGCTGGGAATAACTGGGTCTGATGGGTCAAACAATGTAAAGCATTTTACAGGTTAGGGAAAAATCTCCAAATACAAAATCAGCACAAACACTGTAATATTTCTTAAACCTTTTCAATAAGAAAACAAAAACTTTAAAAACACAAATATCCACATCGTGTACATATTTGTGTGGTCAAAGTGCTCTCTGCATTCAAATTCAATATTCTTCAAGACAAGAGTGATTATAACATTCTTAAATAAGGCAGGTAATCCATGCTAATTGGTAAGGAACAAATTGCAAGCTCCAATTGAAACTCAAACTAGTGACTGAAAAATTATTGGTCTGTCCAAAGACTCCAATTTGGCCGGCATTTGGTCGATACATAATTATATTATTCCCAAGAACTTAATGTATAATGTAAAGAAGTTTGCACAATAGATGGATTCAGTGACTTATTGTGACATCAGTTTTTTTGAAGTACTGAGATTTATTGAAATCAAATTCCCCAGTATAGGATATTTTTGAATATTCACTTTTATTGTTTGTAAATGTGGGCAAATATTTGAGAGACCTCTTGGTGCATGCTGAGTTTGTATATGAGAAGCCAAATTGGTGTATTTTTAAAATCTGATTAATGGCATATGCATGTGAAATGTGCTAATCAGTTAATTCTGAGTCAATTAGTTCTGACTGACTCAAATGATCTTTCCAATCTCCTTTGACTACGATGGCCTGGGTGACTGAGAACCTTCACAGACATACTCCTGAGGATATCTTTAGATGGGACTGAAACATCTGAGGATTTAAAAGATTATGAGGTGTAACTTGAGGAGATAAAATCACCAAATTTATCTAAACTCACTTATTTGGTACCCGAGTTGGACAATTTCACATTTCTTTGTAAGTTAGCTTTATGAACTAACCATCCCCAGATTTGTGCACCACAGATAAGAGAACACTTGAACAGGTAGCCAGCTTTAACATTTGGTTGTTTGGCTCCTCCTACTTTGCTGTTTCACAAAGGAAACTGAGGTTTATATTCATGCCATCAGATATGAGCCCACTTTTTGTACATCTGAAAACCTAACGTTATTCATTAAGGCTTAGTGGAGGGAACCTGTTAAACTTACACCTGAGAACACTGACTGCAAGATGCCATATAATAATTGATAACCTTAAATTGGGCCAACTTTACAGGCTATGCAACTAATTTTGTGCTAAACCGTCTCCTTCAATCCAAAGCAACATGCATAATTGTTTGCAAAGATAAATTTAGCCCTAATTACTACATTAGACAAACTCTGTGACTACAGAATTTCTTGAGGACGTCTTCATTTATTTTGCTATTTTCTAGTGACATCATCCCTTAAAGATAACTGCACAAGCTTGTGAATGATCTCTTTTTAGTCGCAGTGACGTGAGGGAAATCTCTCTAACTCACATCAGCCCATCTGCTCTGGACTTTGTTTGTACTCATATGTGATGTCTGTCATGCCAGCATGAAATGTGATGAGTGAGTGATTTTAAAATGGTCAAATAAAAATCTGAGTGTGTTTGTGGCTTAAATTCACTGGATGTTTCATAACTCGTCTGAAGAATTACTGTAAGAAGGTCAGGTTTCCTGTCACTGCTTTTAAAAAAAACCACAAAGCAGCTAGACCCGAGGAAGGCGGTAGGTGTGACTGCTCACATCTCTGCTCACAGCACAATGGGTCAAATGTCTCTACGACTCCTCTGTAAGTACGAAAAGCTTTATTTACCTACATTTACAGCTTGATGAAAAAGAGCGGCACAATTAAATAAAATTTGACTCACAGAAAGTTTCTAAATTAAACTTTTGCTTCATTAAACGGTTTAAAAATAAGGTTTAAGTAAGTGTTGATTTACTTTCTCACCTACATCTATAACCTACATCCTGTCCCTGAAAAACACTTTCTGTTTGTCACTGCTGCACTTTTTTCCTTGACATTTGGAGTTTGAAGCAAAACTTCACTGAAGCTCACTGAAACTTTGCCTCTCTTTGCAGTTCTGACCTCACTGATCTGCTGCACAACAAACCAAGGTTAGTAAACCTGTTATAGGACAAACTAACATTGAAAGGTTAAAGGTGAAAAGTTTTTGGTGCTGAATATTGTGCTGTTCTAAAACAAAATCAAGTCACAACAGAATGAAGTGGATCCAATAATGAGCAGAATAACCTGCAGAATGAAATGTTTAATACATTTATCAACACTTCTTCATAATCAGCACCCTGATTTCAACAGAAATACCCAAAAATTATGGTAAAAGTTTAAAAAAAGAAAAGAAAATCCTCTTTAGTTTCATTAAGACAGACCTTCAGAATTATATCTGCACAGCCAGCAGCTGGTTATCTAGAGCCAACTTCAACCTGCAAGCATCTGTGAGGCTTAAATAAATAAAATATGTTAACTGGGTGGTGTTTTGCCATCTGATAAACCTTCCAACTCATTAATCTATTGCTACACTCTTGTATTGTTTTTTTCTTCTGCACCTCAAATAGAGTAAAATCAAAGTCCCTGATATTTATTTAAAACCCAGACTCGCTCATGTTTCTCAGCTCGTCTGACTGTGAGTCCCAGCAGCTCTCAGCTGTTCTACGGAGACTTTGTGTCTCTGAGCTGTGAGAAGGACGACAGCTCTGCTGGATGGACTCTGAGGAGAAACACAACCTTTGAAACCAGGACTCAGTGTGGAGCTGGGTGGGGAAAACCAGCTGGTTCGTCCTGTAACATCACCTACATTGACCCGCTGGACAGCGGGGTTTACTGGTGTGAGTCCAGAGAGAAAGCAACAAGCAAGAGCATCCACCTGACAGTCAGTGGTAAGCTCAGCACATAAGGTGGTGTGAAAAGTGTTTGCTCGCTTCCTGATTTCATTTTTTCTGTATGTTTGTCACACTTAAATGTTTCAAATCAAACAAATTTAAATATTAGACAAAAATAACACAACTAAAACACAAAATGCAGTTTCTAAATGAAGGGAAAAAATATACAAACCTACATGGGCCTGTAGGAAAAAGTTATTGCCCCCTAAACACTAATCTAACACTAATCACACTAGCACCACCATACTTTACTGTTGGTACGATGTTCCTTTGATTAGATGCTGTTAATTTTATGCCAGATGTAACAGACCACATATCTTCCAAAAAAGGTCAGCTTTTGTCTCATCAGTCCACAGAGTATTTTCCATATTTCTCATCGAGATGTTTTCTGGTAAAACTGAGATGTACCTTTTGCTCAGCAGTGGTTTTTGTGTTGGAACTCTGCCATGCAGGCCATTTTTGACTAGTTGCTTCCTTATGGTAGAGCCGTGAACTCTGACTTTAACTGAGGCACATGAAGCCTGCAGTTCTGTGGATGTTTTTCTGATGTCTTTCGTGACCTCTTCGATGAGTTGCAGCACTCTTAGGGTAATTTTGGCCACTCCTGGGGAGCTTCACCATTTGCATTTGCAGATAATAGCTAACCTTTTCCAAACTGAGAGACTTGTTTTTGTTTTGTTTTTTGTTTTTCATTTGCTCCTCAATTTCCTTGGATCCTGGCATAATGTCTGGCTTTTGAGGATCTTGTGATCTACTCCATTTTGTCAGGCAGGTGCTACTTAAATTATTTCTTTATCTAAAAAAGGTGTGGCGGTAATCAGGGTTTCCAACGATATGATGTACCACAATTAACTTTTCACACGGACCATGTAGGTTTAGATTTTTTATCCTCTTATAAACACCTTCATTTAGAAACTGTATTTTCTCTTTACTTGTGTTGTCTTTGTCTAATATTTAAATTTGTTTGATGATCTGAAAGTGTGACAAAATATCTGAACTCAGGAAGGCAGTAAACACTTTTTCAAGCCATTGTACATATAATTTTTATTTATTTACTTATTATATTATTAGGATTTCCATCATTATTATCAGAGTTACGGGTCTTTGAAGGACATTGAGCTGAGCGGGAAATTGGCACTTTTTGAGTCACCTTATCTTTACAGCATGTTTGAGTCTCCATAACATTTAAGTAAAGAAGACAGTCTTAAGATCTTTTGGGAATAAAAAACATCTTTAAATTCTGTTAAAACTGCACATACTCCAAGTGAATTTCAGCCCACTCTTATACTATTCTGGGGGTCTGTGACTCTGAAATATATAAACTTCATAGTATGAGGTTCAAACATTGCAATGGCTTCAAACAGTTACTGTTAAAGTTATTGGTTAGTCCTCTGCTACTTTCATGCTCTTATTGTGTACTTAGAGAAGGGGGGAAATGTGTATTACGCTTTAGCCCTTAAAGTTGGTACCTGTGGATCAGTGTGTGGAGTTAGTGTTGATGAAGCTGTGTGTAAATGGATGAAATGCTGTAGTTTGTCTCTGTGTTGAGGTGGATCAGTGATCCTGCAGAGTCCTGTCCT